TGGTACCAGTAAGGTGTACCTTATAGAGTGGCTAGTGTTTAGTGAACATTAAAATGATTACAAACAAAAAAATGTAAATTGAAAAACAAAAGGCTAAACCAGTACTTAGAAATGACAAGAACTTAAAAAAGAACGAATCAATGAAATGCAAAAAGAGCTATTTTACTAGTTTTCTTCATTTGACCCCGCTGTTCTGTTATTGACATCTAAGTCTGTAAACTGGTAACTAAAGTTTGGTTCTTTAAGTTTCTCCCATTAAACAGGAGTTTTGTACTATCCTCAGAAACTTACCACAGTATGAAGATGCGTGATGGCGGTGCATAAACAGTGCCTCATTGATGTTCCATTCCTACATGCAGTGTGACTTTCCCAAAAAAATAATCTGGTGCAAAATTGTAAATGAAGCATTCTGTCCTTTATTATTTTACACAGTTGTGCGTTAAACTGTCGTAATATTCACAATATACAGCATAAATATAATACATAGCAATATACCCAAGGAAGAAAACATTCTAACCTGCTGTTATGTGTTGCATTGTATAAAATACAGTGTCAAACATTTAAAAAAATGCATAAAAACAATTTTGCGAACAGCACTAGTTTTTAAAAAGTGACACTGTACAAGATGTTTCAAAGAGTTTGTGCAAAAGATCGCAATAGTATCGTATCCCTCCCTGTTGCTCTCTTTCCGCACTGGCCCACAGACAGACATCCACTCGAGCCAGACATGACCCAGACCATCTCAAAGCAAACACACCAGAGCCAGTGATCTTCCAAACACATACCTGTGTGATGGAGACCAGGGTTTACAGCCTCATTCACACCGATACGTCACAATGCTCCGCCTCCAGATTTCAGCCTACCAATCAGATTCACTCATTCATGTAGAAGCTCTAAATCTGGTGGCCCTATGAGAAAATGACTAAATTAAGACATGCATACATTTTTCTGCTCTTTTTTTTTTTTGCCTTTTTCTTTTTTTAGCTGACACTAGGAAGACAGTGTGTTTCAATGCATCTCATTAAATGTGGAATAAATGATTCATTCTGCTAACTAACTTTGGTTAAGCATGCAGTCCTCCTACACATGAACTCAATGCCATGTTATACTGCGAGACTAAAAAGTGTGCATTTGCTGGATATTGAAAGCGTAGATCCTATATTCTGGAAGGCCTGGAGGGATGACTGCTGCTACAAACCTGCAGATCGCATTATCCAGATAGATTTCTACAAATGATAACACTGCTACAGGAAGAACCTTTCAAAACGAATCTGTAAATTGCATAAAGAAATGAGAACGAAAAGCACATATTACACTAAAGGGCCAGTTTAACCCTGGGTTAAGCAAATTCATGTGTTATTGTTGCCTTAACAGCGCTAGAATCCAAAAGTTGAGTTGTCCAGCAACAGACAACCAATCATAAACTGCCTTTAAGTCTTTACCTCGTTAAATATTCATAAGATAAGTGAAATTTTAAACTAACAGCTATGGGATGCCATCGGGGCCAAAAGCTTTGACATTTGAATGGTTCCAGCATGCAGTTGACGGTGTTAGGGAAGCATTTTTGTTAAACATTTGATTTCTTTAGTACATGTAGACATGCACAATTGACCATATAGAGGCAGCAATTTTTATGGAAGGCAATATAATATTATTTATTAGCTTAAGTACATGCCTGTATAGTAGGGTTGGGTGATGTCGACTAATTTGGTATGGTACGATGTCTAATGTGAAATATCTCGATGAACTATGGCATCCACGTCGGCGGCGGTGAATTAATTATTTATAAATAATTAATTAATTAAGAATTCATTATTCGTAGCCTACCGTTTCAACTACCTGATCCACATGGTCTTTGTTTTACTCATAACCAAATCATAAATAAATTAAGATTTTTCCGCAGGACTCTGGCATGAATAGGCAGAGTGATCTGTGATGTTATAATGGCGTCGACAAACTTGGTTGGTAAAAAAGGTGCACAACCAACAGGAACCAGCTAACAGGTTATCGCTAATATTACTAAGTACAAGCGTGCAATCGAAAGATTGAAGCAGTGATGCTGTGACACGTTACCTGATAGACTGAAAAGTCGGAAGAGTCACCCGCTGACTGCTGGAGCTCATATGCGCACATACACTGCAGCGTATGCCTCTGTGTGTGTGAGGTCACGTGATGTTCGTTTTCTGTGGTATAGTGTGGATGGAGGGCTGTTTAGAAATGCTAGGTGAAACGCCAGTGTGGATGTTGATCGTTTTCGTTCTAAAATGCCATTGTAAAACTAAGATGTGAGTGTAATTGGGGCCTGAGTGTGTGTTTTTCACGAGCAGGTTGATGCTGTGACGGGGGTGGGGTGGAGGATAGTGATACCGGCTCAGCATCTTGATGTCTATCGGCCATCTCGATGGATGATGGCATCGTCTATCAACCCAACCCTACTGTATAGTATACCATACAACATCGTATACGCAAATATCTACAAACCATTCTGTGATATATACAACTATAGCCTCAAATACAGCCATTTTATTGAAAGTTGCGCTTGTTAACGCACTGACGAGATGAAACAGTGTGTGCTAAAAATCAAATTTCACGTTTCAGTGTAAAACTTTTGGCCCCAATTGCCTTCCGAAAAACAGTTCAAGTGATCAAAACTTTTTTGTGACCTTTTTTTTTTTACTGAGCTCATACTGTTAATATGCAAATATATTCACCCAGAGTTAAGAATGACCCTTTGAGGGTGTTCACACTTGCAGTTTGGTGTTCATTTGGTCCAGATTATAAAACATAATAATGCATTGAGTCTTGGTTTGTTTAATGTTCACGTTGTCATTTTTATAAAATACAAAAACAAAAACCATGCTTCTCACTAGCGTGTACAACGGATCTATGCTTATCACTGTAGAAGTTGTTAAAAGTTATAAAATGTCTACATGAGTCAAAACCAATGGGTTTCTGCTTTCACTGGTGTACTGAACTGTAATACTGCGGGACTGAACTGTATTATGGTTACATTAGGAGCTTTCACAATTCTTTCACAGTTCTTAGAACTAATTAGTGAAACCAATTTACTGCTTTTTCACTACAGGAACTGGGGGCGATTTATTTCAGGGATGCTATTTGGAGGAACTAAATTAGGTGCCAGAGCAGGGTCTAATAAATGACAACAACAGTCATCTGAGTGTATGCTGATTGGGTGAATTCATGCCATATTAAACACTGGCATTATTTTATAAGATATATACAATTCTAACGCCCCATGCACACGTGGTGTCAGATTCAACGCTTCCCATTCACATTGAATAGGTGACGTCAGGCGTTGCTGAACTGCATTATGGACCCATCGACGCTGCTTTAGTGGCATTGCCGACAGAAGCATCAGCCAATCATATCGCTTTATGCAAATACCCCAGCTCAGTGACCTATTGCTGAATAATTTCATTGGCTGACGCTGCTATGATGATCGTGTCAGCCCCAACTTCAGACACGCTCTTTGTCAAGCGTTGAAACTGAAGCCCCGTGTGAATGGGCCGTAAAGCTCATTTTAGTGTCACTAACCTGTTGATTTTCTGCAATGTTGTTTAAGCAAAATTTTTCTCCAACTACAATTTTGCCTGTTTCAGTCACATCACACTTTCATAATCACCAAACCCTCGACACTCTCCTCTATCCTCCAGATGTGGATTTTGTTGAATGCAGCCCTTGATGGCTGACTTTAGAGTTCTTTCTAATGAAAAATAGTCCAGGGGAACGGGCCTGGTGCCAATTCCTATGACCTAGTTCATGGAAGTACCTGGTGCGAAAGGCCCTTATGATGAGAAAAACCTGAGGCCTCATTTATAAACGATGCATTTGCACAGATTTGATCTTACTGTGCGTGTGAGATTTGGATGTTCACAGGTGCTCAGTTACATGTTAAAGAGATAAACTGGAGGTGTCTAATGTGAGGATCTGAAACATTTCTGCTACACAATTTCAAGATCACTTAAGATCTGAAACAATAGTTGAAATATGTTTTATTTACATGCATCAGTCTCTGTAACTATTATCTTAGATCAAACGTTTGATGGTTTCTATGCAGCATTTTACAAACGAGGCCTGGGCTACTGTATGCTTGAGCAATCTATCCTGTTGCATTTGTAAAATCATGTCCTATTTTGGTTCCTTTAAGCGCGGGACACACCAAGCCAACTTTAAAGAACTAGCGACAAAAACTGTATCTGGAACAAAAAGCTGCGCATGAACACATCAAATAGGCAAGAAGAATTATTTCGTCTATGTGGCAGGATGTATTTTCCACACTTGCAGCTGGAAGTGTCTGTATTTGTCACTCCACAAAGGGAAACTGGAACTAGTGCTGCACACATACAATACAGATACAATATTTTCACCGTACTTCTCGCTCACCACAGAGGAATTTGCTCATGCAAATATGTCATTTAATCCATTTAGTTAGCAAATATTTCATAAACATGACGAAATGACATGCGACATCTTTGTGTGTCCTCATGACTAGGCCCACACGGAATTTGTGCGCTGAAATCCCCAGATTTTTAGCCCATCATTGAGTCTATTTATTTACTTGTGTGTAAATCTATTTTTATTAAGTTTTTTTTAATTAGTTCAGTAATATTATTGACATATTTAAATGTTCATCTGATGTATTTACAATACAGTTTATAAAGTCATATTTGTCTTTTAGTAAATGTATATTATACGAGAGACTTGCTTTGTTTACCAAATAAGTGGATCTAATAGGATTTGCATTGTGGACATTCAATAAAAATGTATTATTTTCATTTATTATTTTAAAAAGGTTTTCTTTTTTTCTTTTATATATTATATTTTTAGTTACGATACTCCCTAAATCAATCCGCATTAATTCTGCAGATTTTTTACAATATTCTCAGCAGAAATAGCAACAAATGTGTGCAGAATCTGTCTGAACCCACTCATGACTTAGTTTTGTCACTTTAATTTTTGTCTTCACGCTCTTATTTGTTGCTGAACAGCCAATCAGATTGCTGATTCTACATGCTGGATCAGACAAACTTTCCCTGACGTAAGCCTGACGAGACGTACAGTACACTCAAAAAAATGATAACCCAAAACCTGCCCAATGGCCAACCGTCAGCTTGGTGTGTCCTATAGATGCCTTTGATCTGTTTCTCGTTCTTATTTCAGACTAGGATTGTCAGAGATATTGTAATTCGATACCAATCGTATTTTAAAAACGTCCTTTTCCCGTGAACATTTAAGTGCGATGTTGAGCACATTCATAAACACTGCTGATTTGCCATTGTGTTCACATGCTCAACAGAAATGACTGTGATTGGCCATAAAGGTCATTTGTTCACCAAACTCATGACTGTTTACTGAGTGTAACCACAGATACAGGGACACTGGAGCGTTTTAAAGCCGTGATTCATCAGCGATTGCTCGTATGTCAGCTTCTAGACAAACCAGCTGATCGACATGACTTTAAAACGATGACCTTCACGGCCGATCACAGTCAATTCGGTTGAGCATCTGAACACAATGGCAAATAAAATGTTTGTTTTTTAAAATTTCAGTACCAAAAGTTATCGAATTCCAGTATCGTGACAACCCTTTCAGACTAACCTCTCCAGAGTTTGTTTGGAAGTGGCCCAAGACTGATCTATTCAGGACTGTTGGTAAAATAATTTGGTGTATATCAGGGTTCAGATGGCACTGTTCACACTTAATCAACTGAAGCACACTATCAGAGCAATCGCTCTAGAGCTCATTTTAATTGAACCAAACCTGCCAAGTGCAAACACACCCTAAGTGTTTAAAATGTGTCAGGGGTGGCCGAGCACTCAACCGTGGTCTGAATTACCCAGAATGAGGGCCAAAAAATATGGTGACACACACTTGGACCAACAACGTTCAATACTGAGACATGATATTGCAATACTGACAATGTCACAGGGTGAAGTTAGCTCTGAAGGGACATTGTGTCCGTGGAGCACGCTCCTGTGGAAATTTGATAGTATGGGCGGAATAATGTGATCTTCTGAGATGAGTTTTCACCATGACGCTTTGCTTTGCAGAGTTCAGTTCAAGTAAAGATTCATCCTGAATACCAGGAAATTCAGAGTTAAGCGAATACATACAGAAATCTCAAATAGATGATATAAGGACAAAAAAAAACGAGCGCATGTCACTTGATTATTTTTTCTTTTAAAGAAACATGCAAAAAAATAAACAAACACTGCATTTTTCCCCCCAGCATGCATCTTTCATTATCTTTATGGTTGTGTGTCCAGTATGTTACTGTCTGAACACTTTTCCGTTTATATATTTACAAAATGAACAAGTGATTCATATGAATGCATGGATTCTGCTTTTGTTTGACTCCTATGGTCCATCTATAAGGGACGTGGAAGCTTGTTTGCATATGACTCTTCAGTTTCGCGTTCTCTACCCTGAGTCAAGCCTTAGATGCTGTTACTTAGAAGGGTGGAGGTTGAGTTTACTGTCTATGCATAGTAACTCCTCTATGAGGCTTTCTTGCTCAAAATATCAGAACTCATTATTATTATTACTCAGACCTCATCAATAAACATTGCTCTTGCTGTTGGATTGGAGTTGTTCTAGGATTTTTCTGCTTTAGTGATGATTGAAACGATATGTTACTGCCCTGGAAGGCCGGGATCAGAGGAGGGCCTGTGGAGAGCGGGTGTGTGGCCTGCAGCGGGTGCTGAATCTGGGAGAGATGCCTGTCTGATGGACATCTGGAGCGCTCTGGGCTGCTGTGACGCAGACGCCTCGTTCTCCGCAGGCTTCAGCCCAAGCTCCGCCTCCCACTGTGTGTCCGTCACTAGTGGAGTCGCCGCGGTGACATCAGAGGTCGTCTCTATGGGAACAGCAGGCCTGGAGTCTTTGGCGTTCTCTAGATCAGGACTCTGAAGATGAAAACAGAGCAGATTCTACTATTTCAGTGCTATACTCGTCTGCTGTTGTCAGAATTGATGATAATCTCTTTCCTGGCTGGTAAAACTTTAAAATCAAGTTGGTCTGATGATGCACAGCGCTATGTGGATGAATGCTCACTTACTCATTCTCAATGACGTGTTTCTGTTTGATTATTTTTCCATACGGTTTTTAAAAATAGTAAGAAGTAGTGTTGCTAGGCAGTTGTTTAGGGCATTTTTAGTTGTTGTAAGGTAAGACATATGATTTAACTGTGAGCTGCGTTTCAAATGGCACACTATGCACTCATGCACTCATGCACTATGTACTTATGCACTTACACACTCAACAGCGTAGTACATGTATGTAGTGTCGTCCAAAATGGAGCACTAATGTTTTTTTAAGCGGGAAATTCAAACCGTTTTCCTGATGACGGTTGCCAAATGAGTGAAATAAATGACCAAACTATCAAATAAATACCTGCCATGAGTATAACCGCATTCTCCATCGGGAGGCGCTATAATCACCCTCATTGGAGAATTTCGCTTTCACCATCCAAAATAATAGTTATCCAACATTTGTGCCCGAAAGCTCCGCCCCTCCTGCTATGTGAGCAAAGCTGCGGTTGTTGAGGGCGAGAAGTGTCCATCATTACACACAATTTTAGCGGCTGAATGAGTGCATCATCCGGGAAATTATAAATAAATAATAAAATGCACATATTATTTTTAGAGTTTTCAGTGTAAAACCACTACTTACACTATTTATACTACAAAATGCCGTAGAATAGTGCGCAAGTATGCGATTTGGGACGCAGCTGCATCCAAATCACTTCACTAATACACTGCAAAAAATTCAACCAATGTATACTCCAGATATTATTTAACAGGTAAAAGAGTGTTTCCCAGAGATGGGTTGCGGCTGGAAGGGCATCTGCTGCGTAAAAACATGCTGGATAAGTTGCTGGTTCATTCCTCTGTGGCAACCCCGGATTAATAAAGGGACTAAGCGACAAGAAAATTAATGAATGAATAAAAGAGTGTAAATCTTCATTACCTTCATCTTCATTACCTAACAGTTATTTATTTTTCTTTGCTATAAACTTCTAAAATCTGCATGATCTTTTTAGAGCAAAACACTGTAACAGTTTTTGTAAGAGCCGACACGGTGGCTCAGTGGTTAGCACTGTCAGCAAGAAAGTCGCTGGTTCAAGTCCCTACTGGGTCAATTGGCATTTCTGTGTGGAGTTTGCATGTTCTCCCTCTGTTCAGGTGGGTTTCTTCCAAAGTCCAAAGACGTGCTGTAGGTGAATTGAATAAGCTTAATTGACCGTAGTGTATGAGTGTGCATGTAAGAGTGTATGGGTGTTTCCCAGTACTGGGTTGCAGCTGGAAGGGCATCCGCTGTGTAAAACATATGCTGAATAAGTTGGTGGTTCATTCCACTATGGTGACACCTGATGAATAAGGGGACTAGGCCAATAAAAAAATTAATGAATGAATTTTTAGAAATGACAGTGAAATATTTTAGGATTTCTTGCAATGATCTGTGTAAAGGGTGGCTCACACTGTGAGGTTTTTATAATATTGAATGATTGTAGCATGTCAGACTGCACGAATGTAGCTCGCATGATATACTGGAAGATCTCAGCTGTCATAAAGTCAGACTGAACGATAATGAAGACGCGCCAAACACGAAAGGAAACGCCCCAGGAGTTTGACGTCATCCACTCGAGACACTTTCACTATCCCGCGCTCTGAAATGATTCCTCACAGCAAACGTAATATTGGATAATAGGAACCATTTTTTATTATTTTTGTCTCTTTTTCTTTTAATCAAACAATTATTTGTATTGGTCATGTAAGGGTCATATATTAACTGAACTTCTAATGTTGTGGGTGAGTGCTGTGCATACTAATTAGCATTTTTGCAGAAGTAGATAGATGCGGGTCCAAAATTAAATTCAGCTCTGCAGAAACTTCCTGTCTGAAGAGAGGTGTTAAAACTGAACACAGAAAGATGTATACTTTGTTGTTGGGCAGAGAATTCGTAGAAAAAGAGGAAGTATGTCGAAGGTGTGGCCAATGGAGGACTGAACAATGACTGACAAGTGACGTTACACCAAAACTCCACCTGTTAAGATCGGTTGTGTATATATGGTGAAGTCAGGAAACGTATGTTAGTTGCGAACCTCTTGAATGTAATTCTTGTATTGCATTGGGGTAATGTAACCCAGAGCTCTGTCATCGAATTATTCATTTGTATCCAATAAATTGTTATGATTTTTGACATTGAAGAAAAACATCTCCAGACCTTTTCTCTTGAACACGCATGGAATTGGCTTGATATTCCAACAGTAAACAATCTGTAGCGGCAATTTTGCACACAGCGTGTCCTCACAGTCGTTTGAACTGTCGATGGATTGCATCATCAAATTCGGAGCTTCTATTGGTTCTTGGATTGATGCTCATCACAGCTGTTGTCACACTGCAGGAAAGTGTCTGAAATCTTCTGACACTGCCAGAACTTCATTAGAGGAAAAATCTGATCGCAACAGGCACTAAGCGGCTGTCAGAGAATATGTCAAACTAACGATCAAAGATCACCTATTGTAGCCTGGGGATTCCAGGAATCTTTAAGGATTTCCTAAATTTGTCTCAGATGACAGAATCATGGCCGAAATCTTACAGTGTGAGCAGGGCTTAACACATGTATTTCTTGCATCTCTTTACCGTCTGTGTTTTTAAGCTTGTATGTTATCCAGGTACAAAACTGATTTTAGTACTTTAGTGATAATTAAATCATAAACTTTTATTTAAACTTTTCTTTTACTGTAAACGTTAATCTAAACACTGCAAGCTATTTTTTGTCCTGTTTTCAAATATCTAAAAAATTTTTAACCGAGAAGCATTTTCTAGACAAGCAAAACACATTTTCTTGTTTTAAGAAGTAATATGCCAAAATTAAGTGATTTTTTTTTCTAAAGGGCACCTATGATGAAAATCAACTTCTGTAAGCTGTTATAGACCTGTGTGTAGGTATAGTGTGTCCACTGTCATATTGGAGTGATAGAAACAGTGTTTTTAAAATTTCCTGATGTTAAAATAGGACCAAATCCCAGAGATATTGAGGCCCACCGCAATGTGATGAAGTAGAGCAGTTTTCCCTGCCCACCAAATTGATTGTCAGTCAGCATGTTTGTATAAGAACATGTATACACACATCCACAGAACATTTTTTGCAAATCAACTGGGATAAAAAAATTTGTTCCAACTCTCTGTGATTTTTATGTTTAAAACGTTTTTAAAACAGAGCATGTTTGTAATAAAGACCGTAAAATTGCTAAGTAGTTCTTAACCTCTATAATCACTACGGCCGCATGGTGTCATTAAATGCTAATGTGTGTGTGTGTGTTTGTGTTTACTGCCAACGGCATTTGTGTGAGACTCATCATTTCAGAAAGGCTTGATTAAATTCCACCACAAAATGAAATAAACTTACTTGGTATTTTTGACTAATGAGCTGTATTTTAGCTTCATCCGAGTCTGTCTCTATCACTGACGGTTGCTTTTCTGACTAAACGCATGATGAGAGGCAGACATACACGTGGGAAAGGTGGGCGGGGAGAAGCAGCTGATTTGTATTTAAAGCCACAGGCTACAAAAACAGCTACAATGTTCTCAGAGACCAAAATGGGCAGATTCAGGAGGCTATAATAAATAATCTGATGGGTATTTTAAGCTGAAACTTTACAGACACATTCTGGAGACACCAAAGGCTTATCTTACATCTTGTAAACAGGGTAAAATAGGTGCCATTTAAAACAAGCTAAATAATCTGCCAATGACGTAAGCAAAATAATCTTTTGTCAAAAGGAATCACATACAATTTGTCTTTCATTTTTGATTTAGGTGATTACAGGTTTCCTAAATAATATACTTTATATATTTCTATAATATTGTATTTAAAATAATAATTGGGACCCACAACAACACCGTGTGCACTTGGGGCCCCTGCAAGGGAGGGGAAATGCCAATTTTGGAGTGTCTATTTAGGCTAAGTGCAAATAGCGCACATCATTGGGTCACTGTTTGATTGACAAAGACAACAAAACATCGCGATTGACAGCAGCATGAGTGGTGTAGCTCGTAAAGTGCATGGAAACAAGTTTTGACTCGATTGATCATCAACCTGGTTCGAATCCGGTGTCTGATGAACCCATTCTTCTTTTTATCCCCATTACAGAAATAATAGAAAGGAAATATTTTAGTTTTTATTTTCCACCTGGTGTTAAATGTTAGCAACTTCTTAATACAACTAAGCTTTATTTACAATGAATATTCTTTAAATACATATATATATATATATATATATATATATATATATATATATATATATATATATATATATATATATATATATATATATTATTATTTTTTTTTTTTTTATATTTCACAAATGATGTTTAACAGAGCAAGGAATTTTTTACAGTATGTCTGATAATATTTTTTCTCTGGAGAAAGTCTTATTAGTTTTATTTCGGCTAGAATAAAAGAAGTTTTAAACACCATTTTAAGGACAAAATGATTAGCCCCTTTAAGCTATATTTTCCGATAGTCTACAGAATAAGCCATCGTTATACAATAACTTGCCTAATTACCCTAACCTGCCTAGTTAACCTAATTAACCTGGTTAAGCCTTTAAATGTCACTTTAAGCTGTATAGAAGAGTCTTGAAAAATATCTGGTCAAATTTTATGTACTGTCATCATGGCAAAGATAAAATAAATAGGTTATTAGAATTGAGCTATTAAAACTATTATGTTTAGAAATGTGTTGAAAAAAAATCTCTCCATTAAACAGAAATTGAGGGAAAAAACAAACATGGGGCTAATAATTCAGGGGGGCTAATGATTCTGACTTCAACCGTATATATTTAGTACTGCTTCACTGAACTTTAACAAGTATACTAAAAACCATACATTTTTACTAGTTTTATTAGGTTTTTTTTTTATTAAAGTGTGCTTTAAATGCTTTAAATACAAGTAAAATCTTTGTAAACTATATATTTGTACTATATTTCTTAAATGTTTAAAAATGCGAGCAATACATTATAGATTCATTTCATAAAAAAATTATATTATTCTTATTTTTCAGTTGAACTATAGTAGTGCGGCCGGGTTGGGGCCCTACAAGACAATATGCCCAAGAGCCTCTGAATTCTTAATCCAGGCCTGCGCTTATGTGAGGCATTTCTAATGCAGTGTCTATGGGCAGGGCAGGGCAGGGCAGGACAGTACATTTGACGTTGTTCTTTCTTCTTGGCTGCCGTTATCAGTCTCTATTTTTTTTCCTTTTTCTGAAAGCCTTGATACCACTATTGTGGAGTTTTTCTTTTATTATTTCATCAAAAAAGATTGTAAAAACATTAATTGTTGTACTCTCCCATTCACTGCGCTCTAAGTTTACCCAACTATGCTGACTTCTGCTACTTTCCATTGTGAAGTGTGTTACCTGTGTCTGTATGGCAGTGACGGGCTGTATGGGCTTCTGGTACTCTGGGCTGACGGCTACAGTGCTGTACGCTGGAGGACCCAGAGCGCTCTGCCTCTGGAGCAGCTGCAAAACCGCCTGGATGTCTGAAGTCATCTGCGCTTCCAGCCTAAACACACACAGATTAACACACAGGCATTAAAAGAAGTGTTCAATACAGTCTACGGCCAGCAGAGGGCAGTAAGGCACCATTTTACCACCTGTACAAGATGTTCAGATAAGTTGATGTTTTAACTTCTACTCTCTTAATTTAGTCTAGCGGGTGACCTACTTCACCTCCGTTTCTATTTCTCACCTGTTCAGGTTTTCCTGCAGTAGATCCAGTCGTTGCTCCATTTCGCCGAACGTGATGTCGCTTTCGCAGTCGTCTCCTCCTTCTCTGTCCTGAGATTTCGCTGAGTCATCTGCATTCCCACAAGGCCATTCTTCAACACACACATCTAGAGAAAAGCAAAGTCCCAGTGCAATTAATCAAACACACACCCACATACATACCAGATGCATACAAACCTGGCGTATCAAGCACATGTGTGTAATATATTAGGTCTGTCGGTTGTACCACACACACACATATATACACACATGTATGTACACACACATGCTGTAATATAACATATGGCTCCTGGAAGACAAATTAGACATCATGCGCACACACAACGTCATTAATTTTCTCCATGCTGCACCAGTGTCTCCTAATGTAGCAGCCGCAATACCCAGAAGCATGTTTACATGTGTTTGCCTCAACAAGATATTACCCCAAGCTCAATCTAATCATATGCTCCAGGGCCATCTTCTATTATTTAGAGAGACAGAGAGAGAAAATGAGTGAAGGAAAGAAAGAAAATGGCTCTGGCTCTATAATTATATGAGCAGTCATTGTTCACACATTCTCTTCTATACAGTACAGAGTCAGAGTAAAATTGCAGAGTTATTGTTTTCTTCTAGTTATTGCTGAATTCAGTTGATGTTTTCTGTAGGACAGAGAAGGGCGGCACGGTGGCTCAGTGGCTAGCCTTACAGCAAGAAGGTCGCTAGTTTAAGTTCTGGCTGGGCCAGTTGGCATTTCTGTGTGGAGTTTGCATGTTCTCCCCGTGTTCATGTGGGTTTTCTCCGGGTGCTCCGGTTTCCCCCACAGTCCAAACACATGTGCTATAGGTGAATTGGATTAACTAAATTGGGCATAGTGTATGAGTGTGTATGAATGTGAGAGTGAATGAGTGTTTACCAGTACTTGGTTGCGGCTGGAAGGGCATCTGCTGAGTTAAACATATGCTGGAATAGTTGGCGGTTCATTCTGCTGTGGTGACCTTTGATAAATCAGAGACTAAGCTGAAGGAAAATTAATGAATGTGTGACAGCATTTTTTCCAGCTCATTCTGTTAAGTCTGTAGTGTTTGTACTGTAGCCAGGGGGGGTTTGAGTGGTTTGAAAGACTCAACCCTCACTGATAAAGGTCCAGAATTTATCTCATACACTAGCTCATTTGTCCTATTTTGATATTTTTGATATACCATGATAAATTGTGAAAATAACCATTGCAGAAGGCTTTAAGACCAAGCAGAATCCTCTTTTGGCTGTTGCTTCAGCGTGACTGAGGAAAGTTGAATGTTCTGGCCAGTTTGTGTTTGCCTAAGAAATGACTAGAGGCTAGTTTTTAATTTAAAACATGACCAGCATCCGTTTTACTGATCATATATGATGTCATAAATTTGAATTTGGAAAATAAGTATTATTCTCATTTTTTTCATCAAAATCTTTAGATGTTTTTGGTAAATCACAAAATGCGGTTGATGACCATCTGACAAGTTAATTCAGCAAAAAATTGTGTTCTTAAAGTATTTCAACCTTAAAGTTAAAAAGAAAATAAGGCTAATAACTGCAAAACGGTCCATATTTTAAGAAAAAAAAAACCCTTTCAGGCTGGCTACGGGTCTGCTGTATATGGTTCATAGAAAGGGCTGCCAAAATTGATAAAAGTGTCATAATTTCATACAACCTATCTGTGGCTGAAATTGACACTATCAATCAGCAATAGTGTAGAGAAAGATGTACTGTATATATACTGCATCTGGGTTTTGAAGGGAATTAGCAATTTCTTGACAACTTTTTTCACTTTTTGACCCGGTTGTGGTATTGCTCAGATGTCAAACAGATACGTGTGCTCCTGCCAAATTTACACTAGTTTTTCCATCATTTCTTGGGTCCAAATAAAGTGAGAAGAAGCATTAGTAACTTCTCCCCCAACCTCCCGCTGGCCTGCAGATACCCATATTAGGAATGCTGCTCTCTCATTGGCTGTAGGTTTAATCACTTATCTTATTTTCAATTAGAACACATTTCACACGGCATGATTTTGAATCGCTGACAGCTCCAGATTTTTTAGCATGCCAAATGTCTGACGGGTGTCGGAGACTCATCTGCGATTCTCTCAGATCATGTCTTTGATATTTCACACTGTGATTGTTACTCACGTGAACGAGCGCCGATTTGCCTGAGATTTCAGGCATTTGTCGGCGATTTCTCAAAACCTGTCAGCGAGCCAAAATCAAGGCTAAAATCATGCAGTCTGAACTCGGCATTAGTAAAAAAAAAATCTTCAGATTATTTAAATTCACTATGATTTTTTATGATTTTTATGATTTTTTTTGCAGAGCTTCTTACTAAAATCTTCTTTAGGGACCCAAACATGATTCTTCTATGTCATCACTACAGACAGTCTCTCTTGCATATAATTAAGAGGGTTAAAATGTCCAGTTTCTCTGGATTTTTAAGTATGGGTTTGAATTGTAAGTGTTTATAATTGTTTCATTTTATAAAGACCTGAAAACATTCAAGGCATAACAGATATCTTCATATCCACCAGAAAAAACTTTAGGCAATCATTTTACAGTGTTGCACCCCGATGAACAGGTATGCTTTACCTTTCTGAAACAGATTGTTTTCAACACAGTCTTTAGTGTGTGGGTCAGGCATGGTGTTCAGGTTGACAGGAAGAGATTGACCCAAACCCAAAGGCCTTGATGTCTCTTCCTCATCCTCTTCCTCCTCCTCTTTTCCTGGCAGTGTGTGAAGCTCTCGATCTCTTACTCTTTCCCTGTCGGAGCGGCTTGGCCTGATTGGAGAATCTGAGGAAACACAAAACCCAGACTCACTTTGCAAGTTTCCATTAGTTAATGTTAGATAATCAGAGGTTCTGCAGGTTTCACAGAGTCTTTTTAAGACCTTTTGAAGACCATCAAGTATGAAATTTCAGACATATATAGGGCTAAATGCTAAAGATTTTTTTAATGGCCCAGCAGAAAAAGATATATTTTACTTGCTCCATCATAAAAGTAATTCTAAGTAATTATTTTGTAGCCACATATTTTAAATAATGTGTCAAAACAAGCAGACTAGTTGTACAAAAACATACTCTTAAAAAAAAAACTTAAACTAAATGTATGCACACCAGACTTATAATTTTAGCTATAAATATAAATATATATTTTGCTAAAGGTTTTATTGAGATGTACTTATGTTAATTGAATGTGTGTTGGAATTATGTGGTGGCTTTAGAATAAACAAAGACAAATTAAGACCTGTTTAAAATTATTTAAGCTCAACAAGACAATATTTCAGTGAATTTACCTTTTAGGGCCTAAAATTTAGTTTTTGAAATGTAAGACATTATAGGACCCTGCAGAGAACCTCTTAATGTACACTCATTGGCCACTTTATTAGGTACACCTGTCCAACTGCTCGTTAACACATATTTAATCAGCCAGTCACATGGATTGGCTGATCACATCAGCAATTCAATGTATTTAGGCATGTAGACATGGTCAAGACGATCTGCTGCAGTTCAAACTGAGCATCAGAATGAGGAAGAAAGGGGATTTAAGTGAATTTGAACATGGCATGGTTGTTGGTGCCCGACGGGCTGGTCTTAGTATTTCAGAAACTGTTGATCTGGGATTTTCATGCACAACCATCTCTATGGTTTACAGAGAATGGCCTGAAAATGAGTAAATAATCAATGAGCGGCAGTTCTGTGGCCTTGATGCCTTGATGTGTAGGTCAGAGATGAATGAAAGCTGATTGTAAGGCAACAGTAACTCAAATAACCACTCATTACAATCGAGGTATGCAGAAGAGCATCTCTGAACACACAACACGTCCAACCTTGGGGAGGATGGGCTACAGCAGCTGAAGACCACACTGGGTGCCACTCCTGTCAGCTAAGAACAGGAAACTGAGGCTACAATTCCCACAGGCTCATCAAAATTGGACATTAGACGATTGATAAAACGTGCCTGGTCTGATGAGTCTCAATTTCTGCTGTGACATTCAGATGGTAGGGTCAGAATTTGGCGCCAACAACATGAAAGTATGGATTCATCCTGCCTTCTATTAACGGTTCAGTCTGGTGGTGCTGGTGTAATGGTGTGGGGGATGTTTTCTTGGCACACTTTGGGCCCATTAGTACCAATTAAGCATTGTGTCAACATCACAGCCTACCTAAATATTGTTGCTGATCATGTCCATCCCTTTATGACCACAGAGTATCCATCTTCTGATGGCTATTTCCAGCAGGATAACATTCCATGTCATAAAAACAGCACTTTTTCTTCATTAATTTTCTATCAGTGATTTTGTCTTAATGACTTAATGACGTTTAATGTTAATGACGTTTATCTTCACTTTAAACAATTTTAAATACAGGTATTGTGTTTTAAGGTTGGTATTTTCACAAATATCTATACACGAGAGTGCACAGCAGATACTTTGGAAAAGAAAAATTGTATTGTTTTCAAAATTTTGCAGAAGTGTGAATTAAAAAAATCATTCTTTTGACAAAACTGCTTCAGATTGCACCCTGAGCAAAGAATAAAGATAGCTAGGAATGTGCCAGGAAGAGAGGACAGGGAGGAGATTTGGCTGAGATAAATAATCCAAACAGCAGGTTACACAGGGACGGGGACAAAACGGCTCTTGAGCGTTCAGGTGAAATCTGTCCTGCTGCAAACACACAATAACAAACAGCTGTCTGTGGCCAACAATCGCCATGGCAACAGCTTGAAAGCAGCTGGAGGAAACAGAACTGTAGACGCGAATACGGCATACAGGAGATGAGGATTAGAAGAGGAGAACAGACAGAAAAGGTGAGAAAAGGAGGGAAGGAAAAGAAGAGGAGGACACAGCAAAGTTAAAGAGGAGCACAGAGACAAGGAGAAGATGAGAAAGAGAAGAAGAGGAGAACAGAGCAGAGGGGAAGGAAGGGCAGAATGAAAAGGGGAGGAAAACAGGAGCACACAGAGGTGTGGAAGCCTGAGAAGGTGGAGGCAAGAGGGAAAGAAGTGGCGGACTAAGAGGAGAGGAGGAGGACAGTGAAGAGGAGAACAGGGAAGATGAGAGAAAGAGGAGGGGAAAAGAACAGACAGAAGGAGACGAGGAAGAGAGAGCAAAGAGGAGAAGAGGAGGACGGAGAAGAGAAGGAGAAGAGGGGGATAGCTAAGAGGAGGAAAAGAAAAGGACCACAAAGAGGAGGAGAAAAGAAGGGGAGGAGGAGGACCACAAAGAGGAGGACAAGAGAAGAGGAGGACAGCAAAAGGAGGAGAAGAGAAGGTAAAAGAGTAGGACAGCGAAGAAGAGGAGAAAAGGAGATGAAAGAGGAGGACAGCGAAGAAGAAAAGGGGAAGAGGAGGACAGCGAAGAGGAAGACCACGAAGAGGAGGGGAAGAGGAGGATCACGAAGAGGAGGACAGCAAAGAGGAGAAAAAGAGGAGGAGAAGAGGAAGAGGACCACAAAGATGAGAAAAAGAGGGGAAGAGGAGGAGAAGTGAAGAAGAAGAGGAGGACAGAGAAGAGGAGGAGAAGAGGAGGACCACACAGAGCAGGACTGCTAAGAGGAGAAAAAGAGGAGGGGGAAAAGAAGGAGAAGAGGAAGACAGAAAGGAGGAGAAGAAAGGAACGGAAAGAGGAGAAGAAAAGGAGGGAAAGAAAAGGAGAAGAAGAAGAAGAGAGAGTGGAGAAGAAAAAGAGGGAAAGAGGAAGGGAAGAGGAGGACCAAGAAGAGGAGGACAGCAAAGAGGAGAAGGAGAAAAGAATAGGAGGGCAGTAAAGAGGAAGAGAAAAGGAGGGAAAGAGGAAAGCAGAGAAGAGGAGGAAAAGAGAAGAAGTAGAGAAGGAGAAGAGGAGGACAGTGAGGAGAAGAGGAGAACAGAGAGTAGGAGAAGAGGAGGACAGAGATTAGACAAGTAGAACAGAGAAGAGGAGAAGGAAACAACAGAAAGGAGAAGAGATGGAAAGACAGGAGAAGAAGAGGAGGAAAAAAATGAGGACAGACAAGAGAAGGTTTAAACCTGTGGAGCGTCTCCTCTTCCTCACATCAGGGTCTTCAGTGTCGGAGTCACTCACAGCAGTGTACAGGGTCCTCTGGGGAGCCGTGGTGTCCTGCCACACAGGAAATGACATCACATTAAGCAAAGTGTTAAACACATAAAAAAATGTGGAACAACAAAGAATAAACAGTATCAATCATACTCCTAATAAAATCACAATGTGGACATCTGTGAACTGCAATAAGTCTGTTGGCTCTGAATGACACATTTCGGTTTTCTTTCTCTTCCTTTATGAGGACATGAACACACTTGACTAGTTTAGGTCTGAAACTCAACTCATTTCATAAGATCCAGCATATGGTACTGCATATTTATTTATTTATTTATTTTCATAATTGTTCACATTTTAATCTATTTGAAATATTCTGTGTTCTTAAATATTTTTAAGAATTATTTCTTTTAAGGTAATACGTTTGGCTCACATTTTTATTGCATTTTAAAGTATTGAAATTTGCCCAACCACTGAATAGAATGGCAGTGAATGGTTGCTGATGTTGTCAAACTTCAATATGAGATAAAGGGCATCATAACAGCACTTCATATTCAATTCAAACTCATGCCAAGAGCAACAGACTGAACTGAAGTCATAATTCAGTGAAAATATATGCGCCCAATCAAGATTAAAGTGGAGTGTTAACAGTGGCAACTTACCACTGCTTCCTAATCACTAATATAATGAACTGCTGTAAATAAAACCAATGAATACAACAACCATTGAATAACTAGTAAACTGGTAGACTAAAATATCAATGCTTTCACTTGGGGGATTACGCTTCACCTGATTTAAACATTTAGACGGATGCGGTTTCATCAATAACGTCATTGTTTGATTCTCACCCAACAACCACAAGGCTTATAGCAACAAATGCAACAGCACTGATCCTGTGTCAGGGTGAACCGCAGACATGTCTGATGAGCTTAAGCTAAGAAAAGCTCCTCTCCGCTCTAGCTACACTTTCTGGAAGGATGACAGCAGCGCTAAAGGGATACTTCACCCATCACTTACACATCCTCCACTAGATCCAGTTTCTTCTGTTAAACACAAAGAAAGATGTTCTGAAAAATATCAAAAATTGACTTCCATACTATATTTTTGTTAACTACTATGAACGGCTAGTTTTTTTCCAACATTTTTCAAAATACCTTGTTTTGTGTTAATAAAGAAAGAAACTCAGGTCAATAAATTATATATATATAAAAAAACATTAACTAACTACTAGCTTAAAAAACGACTTATTAGCTGTTTATTTATAGTTAGAAAGATAGGTGCTGGGTTTATGGTTTGGTTAGGGATGCAGAATGAGATCATAATTTATAACTGCTAATGAAGAGTTAATATCTCAATAACAGGCAGGCAATAAGCCAGTTTAAACAGAATGAATTGTGACCTAAACTAAAGTATTACCAGAAATTCATAAAAGTTTAGAAGCACTTGTGTGAGTAAATGTTGTTTGAGTACAATTTTTGAATAAACTATTCCGTAACAAATAATGCATTAACAGTGTATTATTTTTAACATGTTTATTTTTTGACACAGTAAAAATAGACGCATTTTGTGTGTGATGCATCAAATTGCTATGACAACCTGAATAATATGTAATGTTCTTATGTATGATAGCAAACATTACTGCTTGTTTAAACTACTTAACTTAAATTGAGCAGAAACAACACAATTCTTCAGATTTGTTTGGGAAAACTTGTTTGTTTTAGGTTCAATCCATTTACGTTTGTTAACTTAATTTGTGTTAGGACAACATGAATTGTGTGGAACCCTGTATTTAATACACTGTATGAACTTCTAGGTTTATTCTAGTAAAGCCTCAATTCGTTCAAAAATTGGTTTGATTTTGCATGTCCAAGCTCAGACATTGAGTTCGGCTTACGGTGTACTGTACATTTGAGCAAAATCTGGCATTAAGATCATAGATAAGAAATGGTCTTGAATAAACTATGAAAAGGAGAACTATGAAGAAGTTGTTGTCTGAAAGCTTCATGGAGAAGGAGTGTGTCAACACAAATGTGTATATGTTGGCTATGCCAGGATCAAACACTTGCTGGTCACTTTATTAGGTACACCTTACTAGTATCAGATTGACCTCCTTTTGCCTTCAGAACTGCTTTAAATCCTTCGTGGCATAGATTCAACAAGGTACAGGAAATATTTCTCAGAGATATTGGTCCATATTGACATGACTGCATCATGCAGATTTGTCAGCTGCACATCCATGATAGGAATCTCTCGTTCTACCACATCCCACAGGTGCCTGTGACTGTGGAGGCCATTTGAGTACACTGGACTCATTGTCATGTTCAAGAAACCAGTCTGAGATGATTTGTGCTTTCTGACATGGCGCGTTATTCTGCTGGAAGTTGTCATCAGAAGATGGGGTACACTGTGGTCATAAACGGATGGACATGATCAGCAACAATAATCAGGTAGGCTGTGGTGTTGACACGATGCTCAATTGGCACTAATGGGCCCAAAGTGTGCCAAGAAAATATCACCAACACCATTACACCACCACCAGCCTGAATCGTTGATCCATAGTTTTTATATTGTTGACGACAAATTCTGACCCTACCATCAGAATGTTGCAGCAAAAAACGAGACTCATCAGACCAGGCAACGTTTTTCCAATCTTCTATTGTCCAATTTTGGTGAGCCTGTGCAAATTGTAGCTTCAGTTTCCAGTTCTTAGCTGACAGGATTGGTACCCTGTGTGGTCTTCTGCTGCTGTAGCCCATCTGCCTCAAGGTTGGATTTGTTGTGCATTCAGAGATGCTCTTCTGTATACCTCGGTTGTAACGAGTGGTTATTTGAGTTTCTGTTGCCTTTCTATCAAGTCAAATCAATCAGGCCATTCTGGCCCACAGAACTGACACTTACTGGATATTTTATGGTCTATTCACTGTAAACCACTGTACGCTGCGTACGCACAAAAACTTTGCGTACGCCAGGTTTCACGCTCAGAATCGCTCACGTTTGGATTTACTTACAATGAACTGAACGTGGGAATGTGCGCAGCTTCACGGCAGCTTTCTGGCTGGCGTACACACATTTTTTGTGCGTGTCTGTTTTATTTCCATTGGCGACTCCTAGAGGCAGTTGTGTTAAATTCCTCTCTACAAAGTGTCTGAGCCTTGCAATGGCAGCTGTATGAGACGGGTTCATCTAGTAGGTATGTAAGGTTTCCATACCATACAGTTGACCAGCTAAACATTAAAGCACAATTTGCAGCGGTCGCCTGTTTTCCCAATGTAATCTGAGCGATCTACCGCACGCACATTGTTATAAAGACACTATCTGAAGATGAATTTCCATGTGTGAATCAGAAACATTTCCATTCAATAAATGTGCAAATAAAATATGATGCACAGACTTATTGATGATTCCTACTTGTCTTTCTCGTGATAAATAGTGGGCAAAATCTGATATGTAGCGGGGAAAAAAAGAGGAAAGAGTTCATCAGACGCTGGAATCGAGCCGAGTTCATGCTTGAACCTGTCAATACATGATCACATGTGTCTTACGAGGTGCGCCACTGAGACTGCTAAGGGTACTGCAACATTTTACAGATATAAACTACACTATTTCTTTTTTTAATGCACTCAGTGCGATGTTCAGACCCAACTGTTTTAACCGCATCAGCTAAACTCTCCCACTCTATTTTTTTTCTTTTGTTCTTAATGCCGGAGAACAAACTTGCGAATAACACCGCTTTTCTCCGGTCTACCTCAGAAAGCAGCACCTCCATTTCACATTCTGTTCAAAGTTTCTCTTTTTGCTTGATTTTGCCATTGCTTTTTCGTTGGGTTTTTCCATTAGCATAGTCATTAGCATATTCATACGGGGGAGGAGGCAGGGAGGGGTTTTGTGCTCGTGCATGTTGCGCTCAGTTTCACGTTCATTCGGATGTACAAAAGAATATGCGTGAGATTCGGCGTACGCAGTGTTTCATACATCTGCATTTTTTTCTGCGTACGCAATGTTTTAGTAAGATTTCCACGCAAGTCTTCGTACATGAGGCCCCAGCAGTTTCTGAAATACTCAGACCAGCCCATCTGGCAAACAACAACCATGCCACGTTCAAAGTCACTTAAATCTCCTTTCTTCCCCATTCTGATGCTCGTTTTGAACTGCAGCAGATTGTTTTGACCATGTCTACATGCCTAAATACATTGAGTTGCTGTCATGTGATTGGCTGATTAGAAATTTGCGTTAACGACCAATTTGACATGTGTACCTAATAAAATGGCCAGTGAGTGTATAATGCTCTAGCAGATTTACACTGAACTCAATGACACATACATAGATACAGTTATCAGAACAGCAGCATACATTTCAGTCTGTTTGTCACAAAACATTTGCTTCAAAAAACTCAACACGGTAACATAGTGGTTCTGAACATTGTAGATTTCAAAAACCGCCACCGAACAAAACAACATCTGAAAGCTTTATGACTGTTCCACTTTATTTGTTATTTACTTGCAAGTACCTTAAAAGCATCAATTTCTAAACGACTTCTACTATAAAACAGTAGAATCTGCCAATAGCAATGCCAAGGATGAGGATTCGATAACCAGGAAAAGCAAGAACTTTCTATGAAAAAAATAAATCGCTTTGGAGAAATGTCTGCCTGCCAAATGCACAAATGTAATAAAATGTAAAAATGACAATCCTACAATTTTTGCTCTGCCACTGAGCTACATACCCATTTGTAAAACACTTTATCTGTTCATTACTTTTAAAACAGCGGCGGGAAAGTCCTCCACAAGGAGGTAAGCGGTCAGCCAGTAAGCGCCAAAAGGAACGGCGTCATACCCCGTAGCGTTCGCTTCAAAAAAAATTAAATGTAGCCATAAGTACCTCCGGCTACATAATTCACCGTCTCCAGAAACATCCATGGGACTACTTTTTCAATGTTAAATCAATGACAGTCTTTTACATTGGAAGCCTACGGTACAGCTGTACTGTAAGTGGTTGATAGGGTGTGGTTAGGAGGAAAAGCCAGAAAGTTTGGCTACTGTGCTGTTGCAGAGTTATAAGGTCTCAAAAGTTTGATCCAAAAGACATAGTAACCCGAGTCAGAATAGTCTGGAATTTGGTGGTTGTAGCTTTAAAGGTCTAGGAGACCCTGTAAAATAGTCTAAGAAGAAGAAAAATAAAACAACAACAATATAATAATAATAATTTTTAATAGAATGTCTGTATGTTGGCCAGTATCTCAAGCCAACATAATGAAAAAAAAGCTAAGGTCACTACTCTACACTAACCGATCTTTGACTTGCATGTTGTTGCTCGTTTATTGATTCGGCTTGCTGCTGTTGTGCTGATTTAATAAATGTAAATGCATTGCTGATTCAGGCTACAGCATATCGATTGAGCATTGTTAAGCGTGGGATGTCATTATGCTACAACTATCAGCTGTCGGGATCTATTTTTATCTACCGCAATCACTGTGAAGTATATTTATATTTCATGGCACATGCTGCTGCATATTTCATAAGGCATTGTATTTCCACACTACTGTTAACCATCATCTCATGCCTTCTTCTGTACCTGGCTGTGTTTTTCCACCATATATTTGCTAAACCACAGTGAACTGCCAGTCTGACATTCATAAATTATACTATTATTAATGTGCTTATAGTTTGTTATTTAGTGTTGTTTTTCTTAGCTTTCAATATCGTGTGAAAGGAGGCATCTTATTATATTTTCACATTTTATGTTCATCTTTTAATTCAAACCCCCAGTAAATGCTTGTACCTTGCTGTTTTCATCCCGCAGGTTGAACGTGAGCTCCAGATTGGACAGGAAGTAGTCGGAGAATTCAGGATACATGTCCAGAACCTCCAGCAGATCCTCTCTGTTGATGGTGTGCAGGTCGCAGTAGCTCAGCGCTCGAACATCTGCGTTGGCTTTCCCGGGCTTGGCGTAGAGATGAATCATCTCTCCAAAAATATCATTCTTACCTGAGAGGTGGGCGTAAAGTGATCAGAGAACAGAGGGAAGAGAACATAATGCAATGAACAATGGAGGGAACAGACAAAGGCTAAGTAGGAAAGCTAATTTCCTCCATTTCAGAATCTGTGCTATTGGGTACAGATGGAAAATCAACACTGAGACTACTAATCTCCATGCAGTGTGTCTGTCTGTCCATCCGTCCATCTGTCCACACAGTTCTATCTATCTATCTATCTATCTATCTATCTATCTATCTATCTATCTATCTATCTATCTATCTATCTATCTATCTATCTATCTATCTATCTATCTATCTATCTATCTATCTATCTGTCTGTCTGTCTGTCTGTCTGTCTGTCTGTCTGTCTGTCTGTCTGTCTGTCTGTCTGTCTGTCTGTCTGTCTGTCTGTCTGTCTGTCTGTCTGTCTATCTATTTATCCAGCCATCCATCCATCCATCCATCCATCTACAAACATGTCATTGATCATATGCATTTTGTGATACAGATATACAAGTAAACAAGTCTTAAAAGTTACCCAGAATTCCGAAAAAAAAAAAACATTATGAGTTAAAATGAAGAGAAATAATAATAAAATAATAAAATAAAATAAAATAAGGTTTGTGAAATGTTCCATTTACTTAAAATTCAGAGAAAAAAAACTATTACAAAGTAAATTCACAAAATTAATAAGTAATCAGTAAAAATGCAGATTTTAAACACAGATTAGCATAAAAGAAACCATACACATACAGATAAATAGGATTTAATCATTCCAAAATAATAAGAAATTTTATTAAATAAGATTCATCTAATAAATTATCCAAAATATGGTGTATTGAAATGAATAACAAATATACTTAAATAATAAAGTAAATATGCAAATGTCTAAACACTGTACTATTGTATGTTGAAAACGTAACAACAACAAATGTTGTAACTTAATTTTTTTTTTTTAACAATAACATTTTAATTTAGGCCCATTTGTAATATACATTGTTCACAGTTTGAATTGAATATTTTAATAAGCAACTATAAAGATGTCTTTTAAAACCCCCGTCTAAGTTTCCAGCACCCTATTTAAAGTTATTACATAGTTCAAACACTAAAAACTGGTAGATGTTGGTAGATTATAAAATCTGCAGCATTGAAATATACCTCCAAGTAATCTGCTTCCACTAATCCTCCTTTATATCAACTCATATCAATTCACAGCTGAACGTGTTGCTTTAATTTTAGACAAGAACTTGTGCTCAACAATCTCAACTATCTTTCCATCGTGTTTTTCATTCGAATTATTACACTATTGAAGCCCAAGAAAAGTTAAGACACTGACACACCAATTGATGTTTCACAATTTTTTTGTTGTATTAAATAAAATAAAATAATGTTATATTATATTATATTATATTATATTATATTATATTATATTAATTTATATTATATTATATCATATTATATTATATTATATTATATTATATTATATTATATTATATTATATTTAATTATATTAATTTATATTATGTTATATTATATTATATTATATTATATTATATTATATTATATTATATTATATTAATTTATATTATATTATAATATATTATATTAATTTATATTATATTATTTTATATTATATTATATTATATTATATTATATTATATTAATTTATATTATATTATATTATATTATATTATATTATATTAATTTATATTATATTATATTAATTTATATTAATTTATATTATATTATATTATATTATACAAGATTATTTCATGCTTATAAATCAATCACAAAAATAAATAATAAAATTTAGTTAAGATATACATATAACTTGCATGCTTATTTCCTGCAAGTCTCCTGCCAGCTTCTTAAAGACATGTGCCAGCAAGAAAAGTCGAGGCCTGACAGCACATTTCTGCAGCGATACATATCAAAGGTCAGACCTGACAAACAAACGGCAGGCTCCTGGGCAGCAGCCACCTGCCACCGCATCTAAATCCGGCTCAGGGACGCAGCTAAAGCAATCGCCGCTGCATATTGTACATTAGCTATCTGAGATGAGCCTATATCAGTATGGTATTAGAGTGCCAGAGTCCAGGCCTGAGCCAGAATTAGTGCACAATGATGAAGTGTCCACCTGCAACACTTTCGTAAGACAACAGCATTCTTGCTGAGGCAGTGATTCTTCAACCCGGGACCTAAGAATACATATGAAACCGGAGGAAGCTTCTCTCAGCAGATTTCATGCAGTGACTTTCTGCTGAGTTGCATGAGTGTGTAAGTGTGTGTCTTCTTTTCTTCCTCTGGCCTTATTCTGTTAAAGTCGGCATGCGTAGGAAGAGAGATGGACCATTTATATTCGCCTTACCCTGCTCCACCTGCCGGTTTGTGGCTGGAGACTCATGCGCGGTGCACGAGTTTAATAAATGTGTCGGTAAATAATGAAACCAAAGCTGTCACCCGGGGCTCTCCGTCACACTAAGTGACACCTCGCAAATCTAATGAACAAAGGAAACACGCACCACGTCGCTGTCACTCTCGTTCGTGCGTCGTCTTATTTAATTACAACCCTTCGCTCGCTCGTTCTCTCAGCTTTCCTTTATTTCAGTCTCTCTCCATCTATAAAAGCTCATCACGAGAGAGATATCCTTGAACGAAGGACAGCACTTCTTTCATTAAGTCTCTTATTACCTGTGAGCCTCTGAGCTGTTTTTATTAAATTTAGATGAGTGTTTAAGTGTCTTATAGTACAACAACCCATTTTACATAGCATTCAGCTATTTGGGCACTGACACTGTATCTTTTCCTTCTGCCACTATCCTTTAAAAAGATTTGTTTTCAACACTTTGGCAAGAAGTTTTCGTAAAAGAAGTTAGGGCTGGGAGTTCATTCTAAAAAGAATCGATTTCGAGAGTTGATTCCAAAGTTTGGAATCCTTCCATTAAGGAATTTCAGTTTAAAAAAACTAATTTGTTTCTCTCTTGCTATTACTGATAAGAAGTCACTAATAATGATTAGATAGATTATTTAGATTGAACATCAGATTTAAGTGAACAGATTCAAATGGTTCGCTTCAATGAATTGGTTCAAATGACTATATTTAGGGTCCACTTATACCATTGCATAACTTCTAACAGCTGATTATGGTATGCCATGCTGAAATATTCAAATAATAAACTAATGTAAACGTATATTGGTAATTATTACAATTTATTGTACAACAACCAATTTTACATACAGTAGAATTCCGATATTCAGCTATTTGGACACTGATGCTTTATCTTTATATTTTGCCCTTATGCTTTAAACATTAGCTTTCGCCACTTTGGCAAAATGGTTTCCTAAAAAGGACTTCAAGCTGGGAGTTCAATGCAAAAAGAATTGATTCTGAGAGTTGATTCCAAAGTTCGGAATCCATTCCATTAAGGGGAATCGAGTCCTCATTTCAGTTTAAAAGAACTATTTTGACTCTCTCTTGCTATTATTGATCAGAAGTCACTTGCTAATAATGATATTACTATAGATTGAACATCAGATTTAAGTGAACAGATTTAAATGGTTCGCTTCAATGAACTGGTTCAAATAACCATATTTATTGTTCACTTATACCATTGCGCAACTTCTAACAGCTGATTATGGTGTGTCATGTTGAAATATTCAAATAATACAGTAGACTAATGTAAACGGATATTGGTAAATATTACAATTCATTGTAAAACTACCAATTTTACATACTGTAGCATTCTGATATTCAGCTATTTGAGTACTGATACTTTATCATTATATTTTGCCTTTATGATTTAAACATTACCTTTCACCACTTTGGCAAAATGTTTTCCTAAAAAGGACTTCAAGCTGGGAGTTCATTTAAAAAAGAATCAATTCTTAGACTTGATTTCACAGTTCTGAATCCATTCCAATGAGGAAATCCGAATCCTCATTTCAGTTTAAAAGAACTAATTAATATTTTGACTCTCTCTTGCTAATACTGATAAGACGTCACTTGCTAATAATGATTAGATCACATATTTAGATTGAACATCAGATTTAAGTGAACAGATTCAAATGGTTCGCTTCAATAAACTGGTTCAATTGACCATATTTATAGTTCACTTAGACCATTGCGCAACTTCTAACAGCTGATTATCGTATGCCATGCTGAAATGTTTAAATAAAACAGTAGATTAATGTAAACGTATATTGGTAAATATTACAATTTATTGTCCAACCACCAATTTTACATAGTATTCCAATATTCAGCTGTTTGGACACTAATACTGTATCTTTATATTTTACCATTATCCTTTAAAAGATTTGTTCTCACCACTTTGGCAAAAAGCTTTGATAAAGAAGTTAGGGCTAGGAGTTAATTCCAAAAAGAATCAATTCCAAGAATTGATTCTAAAGTTCAGAATCCATTTCATCAAGGGGAATCCATCCAGTCCTCATTTTAGTTTAAAAGAACTATCTTGACTCTCTCTTGCTAACACTTATAAGACATCGCTTGCTAATAATGATTAAAGAGAACATTTAGATTGAACGTTAGATTTGATTCGCTTCAATGAACTGGTTTAAATGACCATATTTATGGTTCACTTATACCACTGTGTAACTTCTAATAGCTTATAATGGCATGTCATGCTGAAATATTCAAATAATAGACTATGCAAACATATTTAGGTAAATATTACATTTCATTAATTAAATTAAATGTTGTTTAAGTTTAGGTTAACTTACTTTATCTACAGAAGACATACAATTAAATTGTGTTTGTTGTACTGTATGTGCCTTATTAACTGCTTGCTTTTGTATTGCATGGTGAAACTGAATTACAGTCCATAACAGAAGGTTTTGAGCTCCATTCTGAACACACAAAAGAAAGTATGATGTTAAGTGTTCATTCATTCATTCATTCATTCATTCATTCATTCATTCATCCATCCATTCATTCATTCATTTTCGGCTTAGTCCCTTTATTAATCTTGGGTCGCCACAGCGGAATGTGTTTAA